AAAATAAAGAGAAAAAGGTCCTTTTGCAACATACAGAAGCAGTGAAATAGGACACTTCAGTTTCATATGAAACAGGCAATGTGAAAATAGTCTGAATTTTAACAACCTACATTAGGAAAACTATAAACTACAGTATGGCAATTAAGTAAATTGTTACCTTTACTTCTAAAAAATAAAATCTCATTTTATTTGAGAATTGCCAGGCTTCTATCGTGCAAACCTCAAGAAAACCAAACCCATCCTCTTCTAGCTTTATTATTATTATTATATTTACACAGAAGCTAAAGTGTGTAATGGAAAATTATGTGGACAAAGTCCCTGGTTGTACAGAAAATTACAATGTAACCTATTATTTTCAGGATAAATCAGCTCTCCATCTAATTACCATGTTCTTGTAAATATTCTATACATTACTAAATAATAGGGCTTACTGTCATTGTCTGGATCTTGCAAATGAACCTGCAAACAAAAACCAGACAGAGGCCCATTGATTCCCATGCATGGAGCCCAAGAATCCACTCCGCCAGTCTCTTTGCAAGATCAAGACCACAGCGAGACCCACAATTGCTTAATTATATTCACCACCATACCATCAAATATGAAAACTGAACGATACATAAAATCTACTTGATTATGACAACTGTTGCTCTTCCTTTACTTTTTTTTCTGGTTCCTCTGCTTTTCCATTTCAGCCCAGAAAGCCAGTCAGTCTCCTTTGTCTTACAATCAACTTTGCCCCCTTGTTCTGTGCTGCTGCTCCATAGCTTGTAGATACTGGGAGATACCTACATTTGTTAAAAAAAACCTTGAACTTAAGAGACCACAGTAGAGCCAATCTTAGCTGTTTCCATTTTTCTAAAACAGTGTCATGTCAAAATTCATATTCCCAGTTACATCTGAGTTGGCAGTGTCCCTTTTTCAGAAAAAAATCTCTTTATAGCAATGCTAATCTCTTTCCACATGCCATTTTAGCCCAAGCACAGTTTTGACTCAAAACAATACTGAAAGATAACGGTTATGTAAAAACCCGCAAAAATATGTTAATAATAAATAAGTCAAAAGGCATATAAAACAAAAAGCCAAACACTGGGTACAAGAGATAGAAATCACATTTTTTTCCATAAATATAATTTCAGTGCAAAAGCCTCTGCTCGTAGGCATGCCAGTCTGAAAAATAAACCCAGTGTTCTGATTAAACGCACGGTGTATTTTCATGTGAGGTTCTGAACAACGCGTTTTTACGCATTTCTGGTGGAGAAACATCATCTCTGCTCTGTGAGAGATTCAGCATCAACCATCGGTGCTATTCCTCTCACTGACAGCAGTGCTGAATAAAGGAGACTCCAAAGAGCAAGTTATCTCCCTCAAAATAAAGATCATTGTGCAAACTCTTGGGTGGAGCAAAAGCTCTTCCAGCACTGCAAGGGGCACGACTGTACAGCCTTCCACCTGAAAACCAGAAGCACGGCTGGTATGACAGAAGCACATTTGTCTGTCCTGATAGATAAGTGTTCTCACTGATCGCATGCACCATGTGAAAGCACTTTCGATCCCTTTGCATATTACCGGAGAAAACTGTGTAACTCAGATGTGAAAGGGGAACTACTGGAAGGTCTGAGATATTCATTAGCATATGTGAAATCATCTCACTTGAAAACTTCTACTTTCTTACTCAGTTCCTCAGATCAAAACTAATTCTTCCATAGAGCCATGAAAACATTTACCTTCCAGATGCTGCGCAAGGACTCACCCACCTAATACTCAGGTTAAAGTTAATCCCAAACCAGCCACCCTTGATGTATCTCAAACCAATAAAATGATGACCAGAGCACGCACCAAAATGGACTTGCATTCCCTCAAGGGGCTGGCAGATAATCTTGCCATTTATTGTTCATACAATACTACAATAGAAGTGGTACTTTTCAAATAAATAGAAGTTGATTGTTCCCTGCCTAACAAGCATCCAGCCTAAAAACCTGATTATTCCACAGCTCCTTAAAAAGGTGATGTGCACTGGTAAATCTTACCTAACATTGATGTTAGAGAGCCAGATCCTAAATTACACATCCTGGAGGTCACAGATTACAATAGGCTACGATTAAGCTGATTATCATATCATAGTGTTAACTAGTTCATTTTTTAAATTTTAGTATATTAAAATGTAGATGCAGTGTCCAAGAAATTAAAAAGGAACATCAAGAGGTATAGTTTATGGAAAATTGAGCCTACCTCATATGTCTTCATTTTTGTTCTGCAAATTTGGAGCAGAATAGCTGCCGGATAGCTTGTTTGGCTACAATTCTGAGGGCTACTAGTTTGTACTAGGGCATCTGAATTACCATTAAAAACAAACACGGAAGAAGAATTTTGCAGACGCAATCTGAAATATCCTGATGAGGTTGAATATTCATGGATTAATGATCTAGCTGGACCATGGTCTGAAGTCCAGACACTGACAAGCATTTAGGCACCTGACTCTCTCTGAAGGCAAAGGATATTACATTCCTTTAAAAATTTGGGCTTTAAGGGA